CTGATGAACTCAGTCACCGTGTCAGTGTTTACGTCAATGTTATTTTCAGAGGCAACCCGGAACATATGTGACTCGTTTCAGGAAACTAGGTGTATGTTGCACGTCATTACTTCACAGGAGCAGCCTTTGAATGTAAACATTTTGTTTTTTATCAAAATGCGTTTTGGAGCAGAAATGCCTTCTGGAACATGTGAACTTTCATGTGCCTTAATAACAAACTTGTATTCTATCCATAAATATGAATAAAATGGTTAAATTACGAGCCTAGTTGCATTAGCCACGGAAAAAGACAGGAACATTCCTGCTAGCCATGATTGGCTGAGATAATGGATGGGCTGGACATGCCGGGAGATGAGTTTGGATTGGTCTGCCATGTAGCATGCTTATGTCTATAACGTGAGCTGTTCAGTATGTGTTGACAGTTCTTTCTACAACGCCATTTTTGAAAGACATAACGTTAGCCATCAAGAACTACAAAAGTTTTGCTACTTTTCTCAACAACATTGATGCCCTGAATTTAACAGACTCCATCGACAGATCAGTTGGAAAAAGTGATGGGCTACTTTCTGCACATGCCACAGTCAGTGTGAACCGGAGTGACTTGACACAACACTGGCCAAACAAGATGTAGCTTCAAACAAAACTGAGTAAAATGGTTCCAGTCTGCCGTGAATCGTTCATCCATGTGTACGTGTAAGAGTCTCGCTACATTTTCAGATATAAGTTTGTAATTTTGTCAGAAAGTCGTTTTCATTGCAAGTTAAAGCGTCCTGTTAGTTAGCTAGCAAATGTTAGCTTGCTGGCTCGCTAGCTAACGTTACGTGTATGATCTGTGTAGTAATATTATTCGAATCAGAAATCTATTTGCATTTCTAGTTATAACCTAATGTTAGCTAGCTAACATTGAACCTAGTTTGTTAGCTTTAGCTACCTGCAGATTCATACTACAGCTATGACAATGTTTGTATCGGATTATGCCGGTTCATTGTTTAGATAGCTAGCTACCTAGTGTGTCTGGGGGTGATTACGGCCATCCATTGTATTTCATGGTCATGTGTACATGTCTAGACAATAGTGACCCATCCACTTAGCTAGATGTGGCTGGGGGGTGGTTATAGCATTTCCTTCACATGACCCATCAATTTAGACAAGTGTGTTGCATAAGCGTCATCTAATAATGATAAAATATTTATAAAATATTTTTATTTGGACACTTTCTGTTTTTGATATTGCTACTATGCAAGTAACCACTTCACTGTACCTTTTTACACCTTCTGTATCCTGTGCATGTAACAAATAAACTTAGATTTTATTTGATATAGCGTGTGTTTACCACATGGGCTCACATGTGAATCCTTAAAGAGATGGGTGGGGCTAAGGCTTAAGAGGGTGTGAACGATGCTGAATGGTGTAGACCTGTAGCTCAGTTGGTAGAGCATGGCGCTTGCAACGCCAGGATTGTGGGTTCGAGTCCCACGGGGGGCCAGTATGAAAAATGTATGCACTCACTAACTGTAAGTCGCCCTGGATAAGTGTGCCTGCTAAATGACAACAAAAAAAAACGATACAAAAAAAAATGTAGACCAAGAAGAGCTCTCCAGTGTACCAAAACATTCAAGGGCCATTTTCTCAAAAGTGGGGTTACAAGTTTATCAACTTTCAAAGCAGAATTACTTTCCCATAGATCCTCAACTGCAGTGTATGATATACAGTTTTCTAGCTCCGAGTCTCTACTTTTATCCAATGTAAAAAACACAATTTCAAATGTTGCTACATAAGACCGAATCGAGGCAGTCGGTAACATATCCCAGTCCGCGTAATCAAATACAATCTTGAACCATGGATTCCGATTGGTCAGACCAGCATTAAATAGACCTTAGCACTGGTTCTTCCTATTTTTTATTTGTATTTTGTGATATCCAATTGGTTGTTACAGTCTTGTCCCATCGCTGCAACTCCCCTACGGACTCGGGAGAGGCGAAGGTCGAGAGTCATGCGTCCTCCGAAACACGACCCTGCCAAATCGTACTGCTTCTTGCCACACTGCTCGCTTAACCCGGAAGCCAGCCGCACCAATGTGTCGGAGGAAACACCATCCAGCTGGCGACCGAAGTCAGCTTGCAGGCGCCCGGCACGCCACAAGGAGTCGCTAGAGCACGATGGGACGAGGAAATCCCGGCCGGCCAAACCCTCCCCTAACCCGGACGATGCTGGGCCAATTCTACGGCGCCTCATGGGTCTCCCAGTCATGGCCGGCTGTGACACAGCCTGGGATCAAACCCAGGTCTGTAGTGACACCTCAAGCACTGCGATGCAGTGCCTTAGACTGCTGCGCCACTCGGGAGGCCAGCACTGGTACTTCCTGCTTGAGTTTCTGCCTATAGGAAGGGAGGAGCAGAATAGAGTTGTGATCTGATTTGCCGAAGGGAGGGCGGGGGAGGGCCTTATAGCCATCCCGGAAGGGAGAGTAAAAATGGTTGAGAGTTTTTGAAGCGGGAGTACTACAGGCAATGTGTTGATAAAACTTCTGTAGCGTTTTCCTCAGATTTGCTTTGTTAAAGTCCCCAGCTACAAAAAATGCGACCTCAGGATATGCGGTAAAAAAAAGTCCATTATAGATTACTCTGAGGAGTGACAGGAATGTTGTGATGTCATTTTGATGAGTGCTGGTAGTTATGGTAATGATGATCCAATGGGGAGTAATATAATGTTACACTTACAGTTTGCTGCTATTTAGGAATGTGACCCCTCTTGCCTTGTCTGTCCACACATCCCTGCTACCTCTAGCAGCCATGCTCTCTGACCCTCTCGTGACCATGGCATGGTGCCAGCTCTATTTCAGGGTCTCTCTCTCTCTCGCTCACTCTCTCTATCAGAGTAGAGTTGAGGCCGTGGTATGCTACTGTGGGGCTGATTGCCTGCTCAGCTCCAGTCCCTTTCCTCAGGCTAGTGGGGGTAAAAAACGATCACGCTGCTTGTGTTATAACATACTAACATGATTAAAGGGGACGCTCTGATTAATAACAGGTACAGCTGAGCTGACTCAGACCTTGCACATACAGTAAAAACATGCATAGACGTGAACACACACACACACTCACACACATACACACACAAGCACACACACCCACACACACAACACACACACAAATACACCTGGTAGAGCTAGATGTCTGCCACCACCTTAAAGTATTATAACATATGTTATAAGTGTTATAAGTTTATGCAAGCAGATTGTGGAGTGGTGGAATCAAACTTAGTAACCCCTCTAGATGGATTACAGCATCATCATTGGGTCATGAGGGTTTCTGGCACTGTTTATCTACTTCCCTGATTTGATCCTGAGGAGAAGAGAGACAGGAAACACTAGCTGGCCGACTGGAAGATGAGCCATCAGCCACAGAGTTCATGTTTCACACTCAGGTTCTCACTCAGGCATGTCTATCTCATTACAGGCAACATTAGACACAGGAGTAGGCTTGGGGATCAAAATAGAACATCTTGATACAGACAAAGCATACAGACACAGCGTACATGAACCTTATACAGCGACCAGATGAGAATGTTCCTCATTCATTTACGTTAATTGACTTGTAGATCTAAACCTGTGGAGAGAATCCTCTATTGCCTTCTGATTCAAGCATAGGGTACATGATCAGTATAAATCCTATATATACAGTGCCTTCAGAAAGTATTCACACCCCTCAACTTTTTCCAAATGTTGTTGTGTTACAGCCTGAATTTAAAATGGATTAAATTTAGATTTTGTGTCACTGGCCTACACACAATACCCCATAATGTCAAAGTGGAGTTATGTTTTTAGAAATGTTCACAAATTAATAAAAAATGAAAAGCTGAAATGCCTTGAGTCAATAAGTATTCAACCCCTTTGTTATGGCAAGCCAGGCTGGTTTGCCAATGCCTCGCAAAGAAGGGCACCTATTGATAGATGCGTAAAAATTAAAATCAAAAACAGATATTGAATATCCATTTGAGCATGGTAAAGTTACTAATTACACTTTGATGATCTATCAAAACACCCAGTCACTACAAAGATACAGGTGTCCTTCCTAACTCAGTTGCCGGAAAGGAAGGAAACAGCTCTTTGATTTCACCATGAGGCCAATGATGATTTTAAAACAGTTACAGAGTTTAATGTCTGTGATAGGAGAAAACCGAGGATGGATCAACAACATTGTAGTTACTCCACAATACTAACCTAAATGGCAGAGTGAAAAGAAGGAAGCCTGCACAGAATACAAAATATTCCAAAACATGCATCCTGTTTGCAATAAGGCACTAAAGTAAAACTGTGAAAAATGTGGCAAAGAAATTAACTTTATGTCCTGAATACAAAGCGTTATGTTTGGGGCAAATCCAACACATCACTGAGTACCACTTTTCATATTTCCAAGCATGCTGGTGGCTGCATCATGTTATGGGTATGCTTGTCATCGACAAGGACTAGGGAGTTTTTTAGGATAAAAATAAACGGAATAGAGCTAAGCACAGGCAAAATCCTTGAGGAAAACCTGCTTCAGTCTGCTTTCCAACAGACACTGGGAGATAAATTCACCTTTCAGCAGGACAATAACCTAAAACACAAGGCCAAATATACACTGGAGTTGCTTACCAAGATGACATTGAATGTTCCTGAGTGGCCTACTTACAGTTTTGACTTAAATCGGCTTGAAAATCTATGGCAAGACATGAAAATGGCTGTCTAGCAATGATCAACAGCCAAGTTGACAGAGCTTGAAGAATAAAAAAATTATAACGTGCAAATACTGTACATTTTGAATTCAGGCTGTAACAACAAATGTGGAATAATTCAAGGTGTATGAATACTTTCTGAAGGCACTGTATATGAAGTATTAGTGAGTATGATGAGGATGTGCTCCTTGAATATTATGTATCCTTCACGATGTGATGAGTATAAAATAATCTATTTGTGAGGAACTGACTCAGATCCCTGACTGTATATTTAGCATCAGAAAGGGATGGTATTTGTAGCCATCCTGTTGGAGGGCTTCCTGGTCCAGTCGCTTGAGAGGCACACAGGGAGAGGAAAGTGGGGAGGCAGGGAGGACAGGCCTGGGCTGAGACTGAGGCTGAGGCTGCAGTGTGGTAAGCGAGGCCATGGCCCGTAACGTATTCCCTTTTATGCTCAAAGGGATTTTGATGTCGGCAGGGAGCCTTGTTGATAGCGCTACTTCAGCCTCCAATATCAATATTTCACACTGAGCAGTGTGTCAGACTTTTTCTATTTGCCTGTTTCACCACAACAAAAAGCTTTTCTGCTTCACATTTTGATGACAGGTTTTGACTACAGGTTCAGGTCTCAGGTGACTGGCAACTGTGTCCCCTGGGAGCACTGATCTGAATGAGTCTTTATGAATAATACACGTGATTATCAAATAATGGGTGGCGTGGTCTGCTATTTACCTGGGAGCTAATTAAATGTCCAGATGGTAATTACATAATACTGTAGTTAACTCATAATTACCCTTTGTTTATATAGAGCTCATTAGATGAAGTAGCATTGTTTCTATAGAGCTCATAAGATTAAGTAGCATTGTTTCTATAGCATTAGTTAGATCAAGTGCCATGTCCCATTTGTCAGATTATCACACAATGTTGTATAACGTTTGTCTGAGGCCCTTCGAACTGTATAATCTGTTCTCTGAGTCAGGCTGAGCTAATAGAAGAAGGCAATTACAGGGCCTCCGGCTAGCAGGGCTCCTGCAGTAGCCCACCTGACTCCATCCTCTTAATCTGTCTATTCACACATCTGCTTTGAGGGCAATTAACCTGATAGAACCTGGAGATGGATCAAACGTATGTCAGTCAGAGTGTGGATCTTTTCAGAGATGACTGCACTCGTACACAGCGCCTCATGGCTCATCAGACCCCTGCTGTCCCAGCATGCTCGCTGTTCCGATCTCATCACCCCGATGCTGGGGATTAGGGCCTAATCCCTGGGCTGATTTTTTCTATCAAAACTAGGATCGCTGTTCTGCCAGCGTCACCGGCTACAGTCCCTCTAATGAGGACACCCAGAGTGCACAGCTGAGAGAGCAGGGGGCCAGAGTGGAACATAATCATTTAGGCCTGTGTGTGTGTGTGTGTGTGTGTGTGTGTGTGTGTGTGTGTGTGTGTGTGTGTGTGTGTGTGTGTGTGTGTGAGTGCGCCTGTGTGTGCTTGGTTTTATTATCCTTGTGAGGACCAGAAGTCCTCACTAGGATAGTAAAACAAGGAACATTTTGCAGAGGAAGGAACATTTTTAAGGCTTAGCGGTTAGGTTTAGAGTAACGGTTACAATTAGGGTTAGGGTTAGAATTAGGGTTGGGGTTAGGGATTTAGGTTAGAGTTAAGGTTAGGTGTAGGGGTTAGGGGTTAGGGGTTAGGGAAAATAGGATTTTGAATGGGAATCAATTGTTTGGTCCCCACAAGGATAGTAAAACAAACGAGTGTGTGTGTGTGTGTGTGTGTGTGTGTGTGTGTGTGTGTGTGTGTGTGTGTGTGTGTGTGTGTGTGTGTGTGTGTGTGTGTGTTTGTGTGTGTTTGTGTGTGTTTGTCTTTGTCTGCCCACATCTCTTTCTCTGCAGGTGTATGGAGCTGCCATCCAGTTCTATGAGCCATACCCAGAGGAGTGTCTGAGCACGTATGAATTTGTTTGTTTGTGTTTGGTGGATGGGCAGAGTGGTGGAGATAGCATAATGGTCAGACAGAATGAAAAGGAGAGGTATTGTGAGGCGTATAATCTATTCAGTTGTGTTGTTTGTATAGCTTTTTTCCTTCATCACAAAATGCGACATGAAACCTACAGTATATGTGTGATTAATCTCATGTTTCCTATATGAACCACCCTAGGCAAACAGTGACGGAGGGGACAATAAGCTGTGCCTGGGTCGCTGTCTGTCTTGCCTACTCTCACTTCTCATCTCTCCCACTAATGTCTCCACTCCTCAGCTCAGCCTGTCAGCCATAAGGATGAATACATATGTGCTTGCTTGTTTTAGCATTTCCCCAGACATTCACACCCTAATGAGCTTTCTCAAGGATAAAGTGTGGGTGGGTATAATTTCCTTGTGCCATGCTTTGTTTGTAAAACTGCACTTAGTGCATGCTTAGACTACTACATGAGTCTGGTGAGTGAGGTTAATGTGAGTGTTTGCATGATGCCGATGTACTGTTGATTAGGTTATCTGATCTGAAGATGTGTACTGTACATCACAATGAGTGTCTGGATTGTATTTACTCTCAGGTGTATGGTAGCAACATGATCAGGTGTGTTTGGTTGGTGAGATGACTGTAGTAGATATGTAAGTAGGCTAAGCAATCCATAATATACACTGAGTGTACAAAACATTAGGAACACCTTCCTAATATTGAGTTTGACCCCTTTTTTCCCTCAGAACAGGTGTTGAAAGTGTTCCACAGGGATGCTGGCCCATGTTGACTCCAATGCTTCCAACAGTTATGTCAAGTTGGGTGGATGTCCTTTGGGTGGTGGACCATTCGTGATACATACGGGAAACAGTTGAGCGTGAAAAACCCAGCAGCGTTGCAGTTCTTGACACACTCAAACCAGTGTGCCTGGCACCTACTACCATACCCCGTTCAAAGGCACTTAAATATTTTGTCTTGCCCATTCACCCTCTGAATGGCACACATACACAATCCATGTCTCAATTGTCTCAAGGCTTAAAAATAATTATTTAGCCTGTCACCTCCCCTTCATCTACACTGATTGAAGTGGATTTAACAGGTGACATCAATAAGCGATTATAGCTTTCACCTGGATTCATCTGGTCAGTCTATATCATGAAAATAGCAGGTGTTCCTAATGTTTTGTACACTCAATGTATTTTTCTGTGAATAAATAATTGATAGGCTATTGACTTCTTGCTGTTTGGTGATGATCATGCAGTGTTTCCTGTACAATAGTTTTCAGGTTGGCCCTGTAAGGGAGCAGTGCTGATACACTGACTACACTAACTGTACTACTCATGTTGACTGCAATAAAGACAGTGGTAAGACATGATGAAACCCTTTACCAGAATTCACCACATTGACCATGTTCCATACCACCAATGTTTTAGGAAGTCTTAAAACATTGGTGGTAAGACATGATGAAACCCTTTACCATAATTCATCACATTGACCTTTGCCTTTAGAATAGTTTGAAAATCTCATAATACCGCTTCTCTTATCTTTTACAAGAGCATACCGATAGGTCTATACTAGACTAGTATTATCAGACTGTGGGATGCCCCACTGCGAGCGTATTCCACCGCTGCATAAAAACATAATTGGGATCGAAATGATCCGCGCTCCCCGCTCGGAGATTTGAATAGTATAAAATCAGCAGAGCAGCTTGCTGGTTACGGGATGTAAAAGGTTAACTTGGCTCCAGAGTTTGTCAGCTAAACAAAACTACTGTAGCATGTGCAGTGCTGCTCTGATAACGCAACAATACGTTGGGATAACTTACATTGTATTTTTTGCTGGGGCTGTGTGGCAAGAGAGGGCATCGAATCTTTCCCGTGGTATTGCCGTAGCAATTAGCAGTAAAGGGAAAGGCAATATTTGGTACTCAGAGTTAGGCTTTGTTAGGTGACTTGGTAAGGGAAAGGCACTTACGCTACTCACGACACTCACCTAGCCTACTCTTCGCAAACTTGAGGTACCCTACCCGTACCTCATCTGTGAAGCGCGCGCGCATCGCACAGCCTCTGCAGTACGGATCTGTAACGCGACACTAAGCGCGAATCATTTTCTCTCTTCGTATTTTGAAGAGTTTTTAATCGAGTTTACAGGTTGGGACACTGTAGATCCCGGGATACAACATGTGGCAGCTGATATTTTTCGGTGAGACTTGTGTGACTGATATTGAATGATCAGACGGACTGAGAACTAAAGAGGTGATCAGCTGCTCTCCTCACTAATATGGTACGTGACAAGTTTCTGTAGTCTTCATTCTTATTATTCAATATTCACTATCGAATACTGTAGGCCTATATTCGTCATGGTCATTGCGCTTCTATTGAAGTTTAATGTCAACTACCAATCTGATCATAATATCTTGAAAATATTTATATTATTATGATAGAATAGCAAGTAGCCTAGATTTGATATAAAGCCTAGATTTGATCAATTGGAATAACCAAAAACAGCTATTAGAGCTGTTCAGCAACGGTATATCTGAATGAATAGTTAGAGCAGTCTCCACTGTTTAAAATTGTGTATGGTATTGTACAGTGATGACCGATGCTTTAGTTGGACGTTGAAAACAACAAGACAAGGCATGATTGAACACATAGCCTAACGGTATGCTTTATAATAAAACATTAAAGGTTATTATGTGTTCCATAAAATAACTAATTATGGTAGTCTATAATAGCCTAGTATTGCCTTCCTGTGATTAGTTTTGACATATAAACTCCTTCCCTTTTTAAAGAAGACTTTTATACAAAATGACCCATAGTGTGTGTGTGCGTGTGTGAGTGAGTGAGTGAGTGAGTGAGTGAATGAGTGTCACGAAGGCTACATGGTTCTTAGGCTGTTTCATTAAATGGCAGGCAAAGGGTTTGTAATGGACCAACAGTGGATGGCAACTTTATTGCGCTTACAGATGTAGGATCCTAATTTGGTCACCCTGTTGCAGGAGAACTTTCCTGCAATGCAGAAAATGTTAAAATTGTAGTGTAGTTGAGGTTTAAAAAGGCTTCTGAAGTTTGTAATTTCCATTTTGAAATGTCAGACTTAATTTTCCCTTACAAAAAATGTATCAACCCCTACAAAAATGTCCATGAGTTATAATCCACATAGTAATTCACATTTCCTGTTGCTGCAGGATTATTTTCCTGCTGTAGCAAACAGGCTCAAATTATGATCCTATATCTGTATCTCCTGACTGTCACTAGTGAGAGCGGTGGAGGGAATGCTCCTGCTGATGTCACTGCGCCGCTAAAACACTTCCTTCAATTAACTTTCCACTAGGCAAAGCAACCAACCCTCCGACGGGAATACTGTATTACCAGTGATTCTATTAATAAATAGTTGATAATTCTCTCCTCCCCACCACGATCGAAATGAAACACATTGACAGCAGTGATTTATTGAGGGCTCGATTCAATCCGTAACGCAGAAGTTCAGCACTATAGCGCGATTGACATTTGTCCCAGCGATAGTGGAGACTGTATTCATGGTAAATGCTGCATATATCGGCTCAGTCGGAATTTACCTTCAAATTTGCGATATGGATTGAATCGAGCATTGAATCACCTATGCAAAACTAGAGGATGTACATTATGTAGCCCACCCCTGATTTGGACTATTATCCACAGACTATTATCCATGTCCTACTAAGGTATAGGCTAATAGCCTTACCCCACATGTTAAATTGATTGTGTAATTTTATACAACAATTAATATTTGCATTGGTTGAGGCCTGAAAAGCACCCAACTGTGCAGCAAATATAAAAAGTAGTCAGATCAGTTGTAGTCAGTGTCATAAACATCTTGAGAAAAGAGGATCCCTGTTAGATATCTGTCCAGGGTTGGAACTGGTTCAGGGAACATAACCTAAAACCAGAAGGTAAAGAAATTATTTGAGGAAATTATTTGATTATTAAATTATTTTAAAAGCATGAGAACCGGTTAATAACGTTATTTTACATTCCGGGCATTTTTTCCAGTCCCACAAAAATCGCAACAAAGCGCCTATGCAAAGCCCTCACTCTGTCACTAAGAAACTTATTCCAGCATCTGCCTGCCAGCTGGAAATGTTGCCAGTGGGTGTGTGTGTGTAGGATACTTGCCTCTCCCGTCTGAAAGATAGGTTACTGTAGCCTACTGACAACGTTACAAGCGTAATTCAGCAATTATGGAGAGATGTTTAATTAGAGAAGAATGGATTGACTTTTTCAATGCCAGTTAAGGATACTATAGTTATGACGTTTCACATTGGATTTATTAACTACAAAAAGGTAAGACATGTTTTTAATTCTAGCGCTGCTCTACAAGCTTGTTAGCTAGTTAGCTAACGTTTGCTCTGGTCCAACGTTAAACCAACTCGGAAGTTCAAAGACATTCAAAGCTCCTTCATAGAAGCCGCTCCTCCATAGGTATAATTCTGTGGGCCTAATTCAGATAATGCATCTCATAACAAGATGCCCATCGCTTCAAGGCAAGCTTCCTCCATCCTCTCTCCTCACCCTCAAAATGTCAGTTACGTCTCTTGCGCCCTACACTGTGACTGGCAGCACAGTGTGTGTGTTTGTCTGTCATTATGATTAAACCAACTGCTACGGCAAAATACAATTTGCTCTTAATGACTTTCCTATACAGATTCAATCGCAATATATATTTCAGAGGTTTAGAAAGGAACAGAAAGGAACGATATAAACCAGTACTTTTTTGGGGTTCGAACTGGTTCAGAACTTTATTTTGCTGGTCAGAACAGTGGAACGGAACGAAACAAATAATGGTTCTGTTCAGAAAGGAAAACGATTGGAAAATGATTTTGGTTCTAACCCCTGGTTGAAACAGACATGACCAGAGAGAGCCACACATATCTCAAGCTTAATCCTCAGCTTCACTGATCCTCACTGATGTGTCTGTCAGTCTCTGGACTAGAGATGTAAGGCAGAGAAGGAGGAGCCTATGCCACTGCAGTCTAACTGAGGTTTGATGTCCTTCTTCCCATCTCCTATCAGTGTCTGCATGACGCCACCAGCCTGGGACCCCCTTGATCCTACTGCAGAGCCTGAAGGGACACACCTGTCCCCCAGCCCCCCGATGCCCAACACCCAGACCAGTCACTGAGCCCCCAGTGTGACCAGCCTAGCCGGCCACCCACCCGGATGCCGCCATGCCCATCATCAGCAACGCAAACCACGACTTCAGCAACCTCTCGGCCAGCGATGACAGCAGCCTCGACGCCATCTTCACCCAGATCCCAGAGACGGAGACGGTCAAGGGGGTCTACTATCAGAGGGCCCAGTTCATCAGACAACCAGAGGACCTGCTGTCAGTTGACCACGGCCTACTAGCGGTCATCAATGTGGGGGGCAACCGCTACACCTTCCCCTGGAGCACGCTGGAGCAATTCCCCCTTACCCGGCTGGGACGGCTCTGTGGTCTCAGCAGCCCCGAGGAGATTGCTGGCGTGTGTGACGACTATGACGAGACGCGGCGGGAGTTCTTCTTCGACCGCAGCCCCTCGGCCTTCCGCGTCATCCTCAATTTCCTGGCTGCAGGGAAGCTGCGCATGCTGAGGGAGATGTGCGTGCTATCGCTCCACGACGAGCTGCTCTACTGGGGTGTGGAGATGACCTACATGGAGCACTGCTGTAAGAGGAAGATGTATACGCGCATCGAAGAAATGAATGAGCAAGAGAGGCAGGAAGAGGAGCAGAGGCAGAGGCACGCCCTGCTGCGCCCCCCAGTTGAGGAGACTCGCTACCGCAAGTTCATGAACCAGCTGAGGGATATGGTGGAGAACCCCCAGTCTGGCCTGCCAGGGAAGATCTTTGCCTGCCTGTCAGTGGTGATGGTGGCTGTGACCGTCATCAGCCTGTGTATCAGCACCATGCCGGACCTCAGGGAGGAGGAAGACAGGGTGAGTGAGGACAACCCCCGCTACTCCCAACCAATTATATATACACACTAGATGGCTGACAGGGGGTGCTGTTTTGAAGCCACCGTGCCTCCATCTTGGCACTCCCCCATCATTGTATAAAATATTTTGGAAGCTATAGAAATGCATTTTTTATGTCTACATTTGTTTTTGTGACTTTTATTCTATTACAGACACCTAAATGCATACTTTTAAATTATATTATGAAAAAATATATATAAAAACATTTTCCTTAAAGTATACTTTTAAAAAAGTTCTAATGTTACTGTCCCCACTACAACAGCAAAAATACTTATTTACATTTAATTTTGTCCTTGAAACATTTAATTGAAATACTGTAGAACAATGACCGCTGCTGCAGTGCCATCAAATGCTTCAGCTTTATAAATATCCACCAAGGTAACTCACATCTGTCACCCTTGCTGGTGTGTGTATGTGTGTGTGTGCGTGCCTGCGTGTGTGTCATTTTCCTAATGACTAGGTGATTAAGGATGCTAAAAGCCACAGTGATTTATCCTCACAGCAGATTTATTCTGAACGACGGAGTGAGTGATCATAAACCACGATGATCAATATGCTGTCCATAGCACAAACAGGGCATAAACAAGCTCAGAAATTACTTCTCACTTTATTACCCTGCACCCAATGTCAGCGTGCGTGCACCCGTGTGTGCATGTGTGTGCATGTGTAGGTGTACTTGTGCGCATGAATGTGTGCAGTATTTGTATACTTGTTGTCATGTTTGTGTGTGTTCTAACTGATTAACTTTCTGCACTTCTCAGTTTGTGCATACAGTATAATACAGCTAAATTGGTATTTCAGTCACTGACCACCCAAAGTTGCATGCATGACACGCTCTCCCTCACACACACACATTGGCACACGCTCTGTTGCCTCAGGTAGATTGTCTGTGCCTGTGGAGGTGTTCCCTAACTTAGTGTGCTTTCCCATCTGTGTCTGCTCATAGCAGCAGGGATAATGAACTGGGCCCAGCCAGACCTCCCCAATCTCAGTAAACACTAGGGGATAATGAACTGGGCCCAGCCAGACCTCTCCAATGTCAGTAAACACTAGGGGATAATGAACTGGGTCCAGCCAGACCTCTCCAATGTCAGTAAACACTAGGAGATAATGAATTGGGCCCAGCCAGACCTCTCCAATGTCAGTAAACACTAGGGGATAATGAACTGGGCCCAGCCAGACCTCTCCAATGTCAGTAAACACTAGGGGATAATGAACTGGGCCCAGCCAGACCTCTCCAATGTCAGTAAACACTAGGGGATAATGAATTGGGCACGGCCAGACCTCTCCAATGTCAGTAAACACTAGGAGATAATGAATTGGGCCCAGCCAGACCTCTCCAATGTCAGTAAACACTGGGGGATAATGAACAGGGCACAGCCAGATCTCACCAATGTCAGTAAACACTGGGGGATAAAGAACTGGGCCCAGCCAGACCTCTCCAATGTCAGTAAACACTAGGGGATAAAGAACTGGGCCCAGCCAGACCTCCCCAAAGTCAGTAAACACTGGGGGATAATGAACTGGGCCCAGCCAGACCTCCCCAATGTCAATAAACACACACTTCTTATAATGAACTCATAGCACCGCAACCACAGCGTTGCAGGGGTGCACAAGGGCCCATTTCCATAGACACTGGAGCTCTATGGGAAAAACGATCACATCCTCACGGCAGGAGTCACGCTCACAATCATATCATAGTATTCTCTGGCAGGGGCCCCAGTATTGGAAAGAGAGAGGGAGAGTGCGCCAAGTTTGTGTGTGTGTGTGTGTACATGTTTGTGTGTGTGCGTGTGTGTGTGCTAGCTTGTGTGTGTGTGCGTGAGTGCCTGACGTACAGTATGTGTGAGTATGGTTGTTTTGTTTGTTTGTCTATCTGGTAAAAGATCCACAGTCTCAGTTACATTTAATATGGAGGGAGGCTAGAGAAGGTCCAGTAAGCTGGGTCTTGCAGGAGCTGCAGGCCTGTCATATTTCATTCACACAGTAAGGCTGTTAGTCACTGTCTCTGGCATGGGCCAAACTCCCCTATCCGCTCATTCATCTCTGCTTTGTGTGTGTGTGACCGTGCTATTGAGGGTAGTGTGTTAATCAGAGAGCGAGAGAGATGTAGATAAAAGGAAAGAGAGAGATTCACCTTTCAGCAGGACAATAAACTAAAACACAAGGCCAAATATACACTGGAGTTGCTTACCAAGACGACATTGAATGTTCCTGAGTGGCCTAGTTACAGTTTTGACTTAAATCAGCTTGAAAATATATGGCAAGTCTTGAAAATGGCTTTCTAGCAATGATCAACCACCAACATGATAGAGCTTGAATAATTTTTTTAATAATAATATGCAAATATTGTACAATCCAGGTGTACAAAGCTCTTAGATACTTACCCAGAAAGACTAATCGGTGATTCTGACATGTATTGACTCAGGAGTGTGAATACTTATGTATTATGATGGCGCCGGAGAAGATGGCTGCCGTTTTACAGCCCTCTAACCAATTGTACTATTATGTGTGTTTTTTCGCATTATTTGTAATTTATTCTGTACATAATGTTTCTGCCATCGTCTCTTATAACCAAAAAGAGCTTCTGGATATCAGGACAGCCATTACTCTTCAACGAGGCGGCCGCGAAGGATATCCTACAGACACACGACAAGGCCCGAATCCCCATCATTCGCAGGAGAAAGAGACAGAGATATCGTGGACGTAGGTCGGGGTGCCTCGTAAGGATCCGACGGCGAGCGAGTAAACTGCCTCTTCCATCAATCCTATTAGCCAATCTTCAATCATTGGAAAATAAATTAGATGACCTACGATTATGCTTATCCTACCAACAGGACATTAAAAACTATAATATCTTATGTTTCACCGAGTCATGGCTGAACGACGACATGGACAACATACAGCTAGCGGGCTATACGCTACATCGGCAGGATAGAACGGCTGACTCCGGTAAGACAAGGGGTGGCGGTCTGTGTATATTTGTAAACAACAGCTGGTGCAAAAAATCAAATACTAAGGAAGTCTCGAAGGTTTTGCTCGCCTGAGGTAGAGTACCTTATGATAAGCTATAGACCACACTATTTACCAAGAGAGTTTTCATCTATATTTTTCATAACTGTGTATTTACCACCACAAACCAATGCTGGCATTAAGATTGCACTCAATGAGCTGTATAAGGCCATAACTAAACAGGAAAACGCTCATCCAGAGGCAGCGCTCCTAGTGGCCGGGGACTTTAATGCAGGGAAACTTAAATCTGCTCTACCTAATTTCTACCAGCATGTTAAATGTGCAACCAGAGGAAAAATAACTATAGACCACCTTTACTCCACACACAGAGACGCATACAAAGCTCTCCCTCGCCCTGCAAATCTGACCATAACTCTATCCTCCTGATTCCTAAAGCAGGAAGCACCAGTGACTCGGTTAATAAAAAAGTGGTCAGATGACGCAGATGCTAAGCTACAGGACTGTTTTGCTAGCACAGACTGGAACATGTTCCGGGATTTTTCAGATAGCATTGAGGAGTACACCTCATCAGTCACTGGCTTCATCAATAAGTGCATCGATGACATCGTCCCCACAGTGACCGTACGTACATACCCCAACCAGAAGCCATGGATTACAGGCAACATCCGCACTGAGCTAAAGGGTAGAGCTGCCGCTTTCAAGGAGCGGGACTCTAACCCGGACACTTATAAGAAATCCCCCTATGCCCTCCGACGAACCATCAAACAGGCAAAGAGTCAATACAGGACTAAGATGGAATCGTACTACACCGGCTCTGACGATCGTTGGATGTGGCAGGGCTTGAAAACTATTACAGACTACAAAGGGAAGCACAGCCACGAGCTGCCCAGTGACACAAGCCTACCAGACGAGCTAAACCACTTCTATGCTCGCTTCGAGGCAAGCAACACTGAAGCATGCATGAGAGCACTAGCTGTTCCGGATGACTATGTGATCACGCTCTCCGTAGCCGATGTGAGTAAGCCTTTTAAGCAGGTCAACATTCACAAGGATGCAGGGCCAGACAGATTACCAGGACGTGTACTCCGAGCATGTGCTGACCAACTGGCAAGTGTCTTCACCGACATTTTCAAAATGTCCCTGACTGAGTCTGTAATACCAACATGTTTCAAGCAGACCACCATAGTCCCCGTGCCCAAGGCCACTAAGATAAACTGCCTAAATGACTACCGACCCATAGCACTGACGTCTGTAGCCATGAAGTGCTTTGAAAGGCTGATCATGGCTCACATCAACACCATTATCCCAGAAACCCTAGACCCACTCCCTCTGCAACTGGATCCTGGACTTCCTGATGGGCCACCCCCAGGTGGTAAGGGTAGGTAACAACACATCTGCCACGCTGATCCTCAACACGGGGGCCCCTCAGGGGTGCGTGCGCAGTTCCCTCCTGTACTCCCTGTTCACCCATGACTGCATGGCCAGGCACGACTCCAACAACATCATTAAGTTTGCTGACGACACAATAGTGGCAGGCCTGATCACCGACAACGATGAGACAGCCTATAGGGAGGAGGTCTGAGACCTGGCCGTGTGGTGCCAGGATAACAACCTCTCCCTCAACGTGACCAAGACAAAGGAGATGATTGTGGACTACAGGAAAAAAAAGAGGACTGAGCACGCCCCCTTCTCATCGATGGGGCTGTAGTGGAACAGGTTGAGAGCTTTAAGTTCCTTGGTGTCCACATCACCAACGAACTATCATGGTCCAAACACACCAAGACTGTCGTGAAGAGGGCACGACAAAGCCTATTCCCCCTCAGGAGACTGAAAAGATTTGGCATGGGTCCTCAAATCCTCAAAAGGTTCTACAGCTGCACCATCGAGAGCATCCTGACTGGTTG